TAATTAATCATCCATTTTCTTCTTCAAGGGCTGACCTGGTGCGTTCTCTCACCTCTACATCCGACATCCATCTTCCGAGTTCACCAGAAACTGCAGCCCATATCAGATTCAAAGAGTTATTAATTCAACGTGCCAGTGTGGGCTGGTTATTTGAACCAGGTCGAAGTAATGGAAATAGGAATGGAGATGGCGATTCAGAGCACCAGAATTCTTTGGACCAGGAAGAGGAGTGTGCTGAATGGAAGAGGGTTACTAAATCGACAGCTGCTGATAGCGAAAGGACCTTGTGTTATTTATTAGGATTACAGGTAGAAACATATTATTACTTCTATTTTTATATTTTACTAGCTGACCCTGCAAACGCTGTTTTGCTAAGTAAGGTATTTTCTAAACAATTTCTAGAGAATCAAAAATATTAACACTTCAAGTGTATAAGGATGTGTCGTTTGAATGCTATATACGATGAGGTATTATAAAAACAATAAACCCCATTAGTTTGTCTATATTTTGTCTGGAAGTTTTATACACTTTCTATAGAAAACATGGCATAATCCAATCCAAGTCTTTTTTGGTCTTTCGACTTATTGATTACGTTTCAAGTTTTTCATATTTTTCTTGGATTCTGGTTTTTGTGTATAATTGTAAATGATACTGAGCTTATACAAATTTTTCAAATTTCTGCGAGGTGAGATAGAAAATGAATTAAGTATTTCTTCTTTGACCTGCTTTTTGAAAAGTTTCAAGTAACATTCGATGAATTAAAGTAAATTTAACAAAAAGTATATATGTAGAGCAGGGAGAGGCACAAAGGTCCAATTCGATTTTGAGTAAATATAAACTATATTGTGAAAACCAAACCAATTATATTACAACAAATAAATTTCATACGAACAATTATCTGACTATGTGCAGTAAAACTGCCAGCTGCTTTATCATTGTAGAAATGTGCTTTTTTGATGTCTTTCAAAAATTTGTTATCTAGACTTTTTACCCTATAGGCGGAGTAACTTGGAACCGCCAACAGGTTGTCTTATTTTAATTTTGAAGGTATTTTACAAAATAATTACATTTTTAACTAATGCTAAAAACTACCAACGGAAGAAAATACTTTTATTATGGATTTGCAAACATTACCGTTTATCTCCCGATAGCAAAGTCATGAGAATCAAGGTTATAGCTGGTTATACACCCTTTTCCCTCTACTTTCAAATATTGTTGTTGAACGATGCTTAACTTTACTGGTTTTTGACACATCGGTGGTTGACCTTTTTAACCCCGAACCTTCATATATTACTATCTATTCTTCGATAAATTCTGGGAAATTATAACTGGGAAAATGTTATTCGACAAAATGTCCCTTCGATCGATACCAAATTTAGGTTCTGAATTTAAATAACATATATAAAAAATAATATAACCTAGAACATGTTTTATAAATACCAATGAGTATATAATTATACAAATGAGATCTTTCAGAGCACCGCGTTTGAGAAAAATATGATTTGCACAAATAGAGTGCTACAACGCCAAAAAGTGCATTTTCATATTAACATTTGCTACATTTTTGCAACGCTTTTGTATACAAATATAACTACGAACAAAACTACTTACTAGAATTTAATCATAATTAAATAATATTCACGTAAAACCTATTCCTATTAAACGTAATTGAACATCATATGTCAGAAACGTTGGACATTTGACGTATTAGCCACCGTTCATTGTTTTATTCAAATTACGCTTCTACAACAATTTTCAAATTAAAAATGTAAAGTTTCTACGCAATTTTGAAATAATATCTCACCTTTCCAACAACCTCCTGATTAGCACGAGTTTTTCAAGACTAAGACTGGCCAAATCGGTTTAGCCTTTCTCGAGTTTTGATCGAGAGCTCCATTTCTATATACAAGATATCTGAAACTTCTTTCAATGTTCTAATTTAATATTGTGTCCTTTTCATTTGTAGGCTAATCGACTCTCCATCAGTTTATCCTTGCAGCCTGTAGAACTATCCTGTCAGGAGGCTTTAAAAAGTGTGATGCTTCGAGGCGGATTACAGGTACAAATATATAGTTTAAATATATACAGTAGAATCCGCTTAGTATGACATCGAAGGAACGCCGAAATCTTGTCATCCTAACCGGTCGTCATTAAAAGCGTACTAAAGAAAAACTTTTTAATATGTAAATATGTTACATGTTTCAGTAATTTAAAAGAAAAGCCTATACAAACGTTTTAATTAAAAATAAAAAATGACACATTAAAATTAATATAAAATAAAATTGACATAGGGTAGGGCGGGGCACAACGGTCCAATTTGACTTACGGTAATTATACTGTCTAAACCCAATGAACAACACATAACATACATCAAAGAGCATCTATCGAACTATGTTCAGAAAAACTTACATACATACGTACATAATTCCTAATTTTATAAATATTATATATTTTACTATTTTTTACATACGGGGTAAAGTGGAACAACCAGAGGGCGAACAGATGCAATTTCTTCTATTAAATTTTAAAGGCATTTTGCGCTACATTATTGAACCAATGCAAAATATTAATTCTGTGGGTACATTTGTTACAAAGACAACACAGTATATTACATTGATCTGCTATTGGTCAGAAATATTCATCAGAAGAGCCGGAATAACAATTTATTCAATTAATCTCTTGTGAAATAGCTTTTTTTAAACTTCACTATTTTATTGCTTACACTTTTGCCAAAGTAAAGGTTCAGCTGGTCCTTTTTATCGCACTAGCAAAGTCATAAGAATAAAGGTGATGGCTGGTTATGAATTTATACATTTTTGCCCTCTACTATCAAATATAATTGTTAAAAAAAATCTAATTTTATTTGTTTATGAGATATCCGTGGTGGGCCATTAATAATTAGTTACCCTACCCATAAACATACAAATGTGTTTTTTATGTAAGTAATCAGTAATTTTGATTGATTTCTTTACATAATTTTATTGTAAAAACAGTCCCTGGTGCTATTGTGCACAAAAGACTAGCAATTGCTTTCGTAGACTTGGCCACGTCATGTAAAATCATGTCGGTCATTATAATTGGACATATTTTTTTGCAAAAATGGGTCATTATAAGCGACATGTCAATGTAAGCGATGTCAATATATCCGACTAGACAGCTGTTTTTTTAAGGAATTTTATACGGAAACCAAATTTCCTAGTGCGGTTACGTCATATTAAGCGGTTGTCAATATATCCGGCGTCATACTAATCGGATTCTACAGTCAACTACGTAGCACGTGATCATTATATAACCAAAATCTATTATCCTCTAGATTCTGCAGCCAACAAATCCCTTCGACGAGGAAAAAGCAGAAGCTCGCAGCTGCGGCGCCTCCACAGCAGGTTCCACGCCCACACAACCGCCTGCAGGAATTGTATCAACACCTCCTGCACAAATTCAACCACTTGCAGCTCCTGCTGGTGATGCTCCTAGCATTTTCAATGATAATCCTAAATTGAGATCCTTTATGAAGAAGAGATGGCAGGTCGAAAGCTTGGAGAAGAGAGGAGAAGCGCTGCTGCAGGCTTTGCAGGAGAGCAGACTAACGGTAATAATATATATTTTAAATATACTATATATATATATATATATATATATATATATATATATATATATATATTAGACTGGCCAAATCGGTTTAGCCGTTTTCGAGTTTTAGCGGATCATTTTATCGAGAGCTCCATTTTTAATCGGTTAATCGATTTGAATAATTTAAAAAACATTCGATTCGTATTGATAAGGAGACGTGCTGATTAGTTTTTGGCATAAGCAGGTCTAGCCATTTCGAACATACGTAGCAAAAAGTGCAGAAAATTCAGTTTTTGAGAGAACGGAGCGTCCGATTTGATAATTCAAAAAACATTTTATTTGTATTGACAGATCCAGCGGTTATGGGCTCTCAATAAAAATAATTATCAGATATTTCATAAACATTTTAATATTGTGTACACATTTCGTGTAATTTTTTTGGGTTCAGTACCAATTTTTAATTTTTAAATTCTATATGATTCAAAGAAATGTCCTCGATATTTCGACAGTATGGAATAGCCGATTTGTATGATTGAAAAAATATTGGGTTCGTACTCGATCGCGAGGTGTTTTTGCAAAAGGCACGTCAAGCCGTTTCGGAGATAACGAGCGCGAATGGAGGGTGTAAAAATGGTCATGCAGTTTTTGAGAGAACGGATAATTCGATTAGATTAATTTAATTTTGTTAGAGTAGACGACAAAAATTGCATTTACAGAAAATTTTGTAATTTGAAAATTTTCAAAAAAATCCTAAATTTCAAAAAAAAATCAATTCAAAAAAATTCAAATTTCAAATTTTTTTATCATTTTCAAAAAAAAAACTCAATTTTGAAAAACTTCATATATATCAAAATTTTACAAAAAATTGAGAATATTTCGAAATTAAAAAAAAATCGAATAATTTCAAAAATTTCCAAATTCTCAAGAAATTTAAAAAATTGTTTTTCCAAAAATTCAATGAAATAGAACTTTAAAAAAAAATTAAATTTTGAAAAAAAATCAAATTGTCAAAAAAATCAAATTAAAAAAAAACATTTTTTTTGTAAACATACAATAATTTTTTTTATAAATACAAATCAGACTAAGCATATTCTAAGCGCCACTCTGGTACAAATGTTTACCCAAGTGCGTTTAGACTGTTTATTGTACTGGTGTACTTTTGCAATTTTGTGAAAACTATTGAAAAATGTGAAAATGCCGCCAAGTTAAGCACAGTATAAGTGAAAATGTCGCACAGTATTATTTGCAAATGCGTTTAGACTATGACTATACGGGAGCACTTTTTCAATTTTGTGTAACTATTTGGGCAACTTTTTTTTTGAAATTGAAAGTGAATTCGAAATGAAATGACGATTGTTAATGTTCTGGAGATAAATTCTGGTGATTTATGATTTACATTTGATTCGCTCAGATATAACAAACAAGATAGCAAAAACAATGAAAGTCACAGTATTTGTATAATAATATATTTGAAAACGTTTAAAATTTCTCGAATATTTCATTACGGTACGGGAAGTTCCAGCAATTTGCCTTAAGGGATGACCCCATGCACCACTAGTTTTACTTTTGTTTTCTATCCAGGAGCCCTTGGTGTCTGTCTGGTTGGCACTCGTAGATCGTCATTGTAAAGCACACGGTTTAGTTTGTCATCAAGATTTTCCACCAGATCATCCTGTCCAGGAATTAGCACGTTGTCTGCAAGCTGTTCTCATCAAGCACCAGGGCTTAGGTGCTTTGGCTGTCGCCATGGTTGACAAAGGTAATCTTATCTTATATATAAAAATCAATCGCAAAATGTGTTGGCAAGTGCATAACTCAACAAAGCCTGGACCGATTCGGCCAATTCTTTTTTTTAAATGTTCGTTGAAGTCCAAGGATGGTTCTTACGGCGAGAAAAGTTCGAATAATTGCCGGGAAAACACTAAAAACAGCCCTTTCTTATTTCACATACAAACGTTTTCTAATTAAAACGTAGAATCAATTTGAGCTTTATTGCTATTATATAAAGTTCATATTAAATTACCAGGCACTCGCTGTATACTCCATCTAAACGATTATTCGGATTTTGATCAATCTTTCTGAAGTTTGTCAAGGAAATTTTCTAGGATGTATGTGATTATAAAGTACTGGGATTTATGTGCAATATAAATGAAAACTATCATCTGCCAAAAATTTCAATTTACTTATTAACCTAGACAATATTAGAATACGTATAATAAATTTATGATTATGAATAAGAAAAATGAAATGTCTACATTATTATTTCCAAAAAGCAGCTGAGATGTGCCAGAAATTAAAATAATATATTATTTTTTTTAATTACAATATTTATTTCAACTGTTAAATAATATAACATCTAGCAATAATGGTAATAATAATAACATAAATTTAAATAAATAAGAGTACAAAGGATAGAATTTACATTAAAATGATATCCGTAGTATGAAGATTTAATATAAAATAAAAGCAAATAATAATAAAAATAAAATAAATAAAATTTCTGAATAATAAAATAATACTATAAAAACAATAAAATATAACAAAAGAACAATATTAGAAATAAGATAATAATAATAATATTAATGTTAGCGTTTACAAATGGCTATTTATGAGATCATTGGGAATTTTTCGTTTTAGCCTGGTTGGGCGCGCTTCTGAAAATTCTTTTTGTGCCATTAAAATAATATAAAATACAGTATATGTATGGCAGATTGAATGATTTACATATGAATGGGATATGACAAATTAATTCACTTAAACAATGAAATTAAGTATTAATCAGGGTCGGCTCTACCTTTAATGCGATGCATGCAAAAAGTACGAGCGCACGCCTTAGGGGGCGCCAACACAAGATTCGGATATTAAATTTTCAATATAGTTTTGTTTTCAATATATAATTTCTTTGCCTTTTTCACTAATCTTTTTTTTACATTATTGTTTTTTATTTATATATATACACAATATTTTTAAAATTCGTAAAAATTTCACTTTATAACAACAAATGGGAAAGTGAAGATGAATACATACAATTAGGAGAAGTTTAAGATGCAATTTTGGATATCTTAAATAATAAAAAATTAATTTATTTAATCCAACGTGAAGTACCAGTGTTATTGTTATGGTTATGTAATACCGTTTAAAAGACTTCAATTCCAATATAGTGTGGGAATTGAGACTCATCATTTTATTTAAAGCAGTTCTACATTTAACATCGCTCTATTATAAAAGTACGAGTATATGCATTTTGGCGTGAAGAGTAATTTACATGACAATAATTTCTATTTTTAGGTAAACTGTAAATGTTAGTATATTATATTAAAAAAATGTAGACATTGGTACAGGGCAACGTCTGTCGCGTCATCTAGTATAACATATATGTGCACAAATAAATGTTGACATTTTATATCATTTTCCAGAAATCACAACCTCCCAAGCCCGTTTCACCAGGCCGCTCATGGACGTCCTTCGTGCAGTCCACCAAACCAAATGGAACCTCATCAAAATTCGGCAGCAACTCAACAGAAGTTACAAAGAAGTCTGTTTGCCTCTTCTCGAAAAATGTCGTTTTCTTTTATATGAAATACGTCCAGCAGTCAGTTGCGAGTTGGCAGCTTACGAAAAGTTAAATTTCTTATACAAAAAGACCAAATTCAAAAACACGGTGCAAAGGATCATAAGGGAATCGAGGAAACAAAAGAGTGTTAATGGTGATGGATTGGTTAAAACAAGACTTGAAGACTTGGTTAATGCTACGATATTACAATCACAGATTGGAGATAACAAGTCGAATGAGATATTCGGGGATAACCAGATGATTTTAGGTGATTCTGAGGAAGGCAGTGAGGATAAGAAGGTTGATAGTTTGCAGGAGGACGTGCAGATTGATGATTTGATAAATGATATCACCGACAAAACTATGGCTGATGTTAGTTATGGCAAGGTGCTCAATGGAGCTGTTGATTTTGTTTTGTTGGAGTGTTATAATGATGTCGAGAGCTTGAGGAGGGCCATGTACTGTCAGGTAAGATAAAAACAACTTAAAGAGATTTATATTTAACTTAACGAAGGAGAAGTTTATGTTTTCATCAAAAAATCCGACTCGCTAATTTTATATTTTCTCCTGGGCGTTTCCAGCCATTCTGAATCGAATGAGACCAAATTTAAGGGAAAATTATGTGTGTATGTATAAGGTTGTCAAATATCTCCCTTCCGCCTTTTTGTATTATAAACCAATAGCAAAAAAGCGGAAGGGAGATATTTGACAACCTAATGTGTGTGTGAATAGATTTTTTGCCGTAAATCGACGTTTTCTCCTTAAGGGCTGAACCGATTTCAAAAATTTAAAAGCCATTCGATGTATCGCATTTAGGACTAGCGTTTCTGAGTTTTATGCGACGAACGGCCGGGCCGTCTTTTTGTAAATCGCAGAAAAATGAAAAAATTTTCGTCCACGTTTTAGCCTGCAATTTTGAATCGATTTTGAAAAGGATTGTAACTATGTTAATAAGAATTTAGTTAATATTACAACCATACGACAATGTTTTTGTCGAAAGATGCTAGAACAATTTTTGTTTTAAATAGTTTTTCTTCAAATTTATACTAGTTTTATAAATAAAACTCAAAATATCTATTAGCTCACACATTGTTTTTCAAAATGTGCTAAATTTAACATTTTTCAGAAACATTTTACCTTATCTTTTATCGCAACCCAAAGTAATTGGCGTAATATTTGTATCTGGTTTTACAACTAAGTTGGTTTGCATTTAGTTTTAAATGTGCGTTTTTTTCGAAAACTATTATAGTTAGGTTTATAAAATCAAAACTAGTTTTTAGTTAATACTTCATAGCATCAAATATATTTTTTGCAAATTTTTTGCATGACGCAAAGTATTTTTAAAAAATATTTTAAAAACTAGTTCATACTAAAATATTACGGCCCTACGACAAGTCGTTTAATTTTAAAAATTCGGCAAAAATTAGTATCGTTTTTTTGCCGTTTGTCAAAATTAGACCTTTTATCGACGTTTGCTCAGAAATAACTGAACCGATTTCAGAAATTTAAAATTGATTTGATGTATCTCAATGAGGGTTATCGTTTGTCAGTTTTGTGAGGCGATCTGCTGAGACGTTTCTTTATAGTTTGGAAAAAAGTGTTAAACTTTTCGTCCACATTTAAGCTCATACTACCGAATCGATTTTGAAAAATCAAAAACTGTTCGAAGGATATTAGTTGGGAATGATACTGATTAGTTTTAGGTGAAAATATACAGAGCCGTTTTCTTGTAATTAACTGTTGCAAAAAAAAATTTAAGCCGATTTTTATGGAACTTTTTGTGGCGATATATATCATGGTCTTAAAGAACTTACTGAAATATTACGGCTTTACGACAAGTAGTTTAAAATTCATCAAAGTTTGAGAAAATGACTAGTTTTTTTGACATTTGTTAAAATTAAAAGTAGACGATTTACTTTTGCAATTCAACTTTGCAATTCAGTTTATATAATTCTTATAAATATTAGATGTATTAGATGTATTAGCATATGTACATATTAGATATACAATTCACAACTTCACAATTGAATAACAAAACAACCACTATATAAAATACAAATGAAGGAATGCTAAAATAATTTTGTGTCTTGATTTGATGAAACTTGATATTACGTCTTCGTTTTGGAGCATCTTCAAAAGTTGAGGTCCTGTATATCCATTGATTCGTAGAATTTATTAAAAAGTTTAGAAGCTTTTCTGAAAAAAAGAGCAGTATCAGAGACGAAGAAAAATATTTCGCAGCTTAGAAATACTCAGTTATAGCCAAAAATTGCTGTATTTGTAAGATATCACATATAATTAGTAACACTAGATATTTATAATATGGAGGGAATAGTACCACTGTATTTCTTGAAGTCAAAATTAATACAGTAGAACTCCAATTATCCGAACTCCGACTATCCGAATGGCCGATTATCCGAATCACTTTCAGAAAAAAAATTGTCCAAAAAAAAGTCTAAGTGCGCTATTATTCTTCCACCAGCAAAGCCAGTGTAGGCACATTGTTTGTTTTGATTTGACGGAGATGTTTACAAAACAATGATTTTTATTTCTAAACTTGTACATAAGTACATTTTATTTATATTTAAAACATGTGAAAATGTCATGTTTCTTTCATTTAATTCAATAAAAGAATAGTGCAATATCAAAACGTAACTTTTTTTCTCTCCAATGGCAATTTTTTTAAAAAAAACTCCGATTATCCGAATATTTGATTATCCGAATCGGCCCCGGTCCCCATTAATTCGCATAATTGGAGTTTTACTGTATATTCAAAAATGTCATGAAAACTGATGGCTTTTAGTAAATGTATTAAAACTTGGTATAACGATAGAGTACTTGGTCTTAATGAACATACTAAACCATTATAGTCCTACGGAAACTGGTTCAATTATAAAAATTATTGATTTTTTTTAAATTTGTTTTTAACGTATTCATTCGTTTTCAATTATGTGTAATAAATCCACTCGGAATACTTTTAATCACTCATAAATTAATTTATTTTTATTGATTAAATCCATTATTTACACATATCGGGAAGTTCATGTAACTTGCCTCAAGGCAAAATACCAACACCAACTAGTTTTATTATTATTTTAGACACAACGTTGTCAACTACGTTTATCTGGTTATGAAATGACATCACGTCTGCTTCATGCAGAACAGACTTTATTGCCTTCAGCACGATATTCCCTTCTTGGAGGCTTGCTGGGCTTGATAGCACCTGCTGCAGGATCAAATATTGATAAACAAAAACAGAAATACACTTTGTTGCAATATCACAAAGCAATGAGAAACAGGTAAATAGAAGATAATATAATAAATTTATTATTATTAAGGAGTGACTAAGTTTAGTTTATTTATTTATTTATTTATTTAAATATATAGCCCACAGATTTCTCAAAGAGGACTCAAAAATACAATTATTTTACATAATGAATAACAATTAAAATATATACAAAATTACAATGTATAGTTATCAACATAAAATGCTTAACATAAAATTACATATAATGCAGAATGTAACAATATTATTTATAAACAGAATAAGATAAAATAATGAGATATTTGATTAGGTGAAGTGTTGTGAATATCTATTTCATTATTAATTAAGTTAAGGTTAGAGGACATAAGTAAAATTGGCGAATTTAAGAGAGAATTAGATTTAAGGGTAGGATAATTGAAAACTAATTGTGAACGCGTAGATAGCCTCGGAACATTAAAGGATAGTTGATTAAGAATAAGAGGACAGTCTATAGAATTATTGCAAAGTTTAAATAAGAACATAATTGTACAAATAAATCGACGTGAGGCAAGGGAAGGAATACCAAATTCTTTTAATAAAGTGTTATGGTCAGGGCCGGATTTAGAAATTTGGCGCCCCGGGGCACTGACAAAAATGCCGCCCCATCCCTGAAATTTTATGAACTTTCGAACTTTTTTTAAAGCAATCGCGCTGCTTTAGCTGCTGATGACAAAATATAGAAGCGCGTAAGCGCCGCGTCGCAATCTAACGGATAAACAATGTTACAGAACTTATATAAATGTAAACAAAATTTATACTTATTATTATAATATCTTTAAAATATCTGATAATTTAATGTGCATATGTCTTATGATCACTTTTGTCCGTCAAATGTTTCTTTTTCAAATTTTTTTATTGGATCATCAAAACCGCTAAACCTGCCCCCCACAAATTTAAGCAGTTATTTATTCTGTAAAATTTTTTGAATGTTTTTGGACGCTTTTTTCAAAAACTGAATTATCATTTTTGGCGTTTTGGCCCGTATCTTCAAAACTGTTGGACCTGCCTTGACCAATAACTAATCAGCACGTCTCCTTATCAATAAGAATTGAATCATAAATCGGTTGATCCGTGTTCTCGAAATCGACTTGAATAATTAAAAAATATTAGATTTGTATTGATGGGGAGACGTGCTGATTAGCTTTTGGTACAGGCAATTACGAAAAATGGTAATTTAGTTTCGATATTTCTTCTCTGAAACAGCTACGCAGCGCGATTGCTTTGCAAAAAGTTCATAGTTTTAGAAAAATTTCAAAATACAAAAAATGTGTTTTAGAAGTCTTTTTTTCATTTTTCAATAAAATTTAAAGCTCTTTATAAAATGTAATTTTTAGTACGGGATGCTTCAGTAATTTGTCTTAAGGCACAATGCCATGAGTAACTAGTTTAAATTTATTTTCGACGCTATAAGCTTGGAAGTGCACAATACGTCATTTTAAGAGGGCCCGAGAACTGAAGAACATCTTAAGATATAAATTTATATTAGACAAATTTCCAAATTTGATAACTTATTAACCAATTTGATAATTTACGTTCGGAGAGGGAGACAAAGCAAAATAATAAATTTTAGTTATCGTTTATTTCAACCCAAATTTTGCATTGCAATCGTATTATGTTTTGTTAATTATATTTCTTGAAATAAAAAATGTTGTTAAAAAAAGTTGATTATATTGTATAGAATTTTTTTTCACTATCCAAATTTTGCCGCCCCTCAAAATTTGCCGCCCTGGGCAGTAGCCCCGATTGCCCCTACTGTAAATCCAGCACTGGTTATGGTCAAAGCCACGTTCAGGGTAAATTTTATATGTTTTATAATAGAGATATTTCAGAAATTTTCGCTGAATCTTCTCTATCGCATCAGAGTTGTTGATTTGATGAGGATACCAAATAATCGAACCGTATTCTAATTTTGAACGTACAATAGAATAGTACATGCAAAGAAGTGCATTGGTAGACTTAAATTGTTTACAATTTCTTAGTATCAAACCTAAAGATTTATGTGCCCTATTACAAATATCAGTTATATGTTCCATGAAAAACAAACCAGAATCAAATAGAACTCCTAAATCTGAAATTTTATTACATCTATCAATGCTGGTGTTAGAAATTTTATAATCAAAAAGTATTGGAACGCGCTTATGTGAAAAACTAAGAATCTTGCACTTTGATATATTTAAATGCAATTTGTTATAGACACACCAAGAGTGGAAAGAGTCAAGTTGAGACTGTAATAATAAGCAGTCATCAATAGAATTCATTTTGAGATATAGTTTTAGATCATCTGCAAATAATAAATGTGGACAGTTAATAATATCAGAAATGTCATTAATAAAAATAATAAATAGTAATGGACCAATAATGGATCCTTTATATTTTTTAGATCTGCTGTCCAGGATTTAGATAGAGTCACAGCCCATCAAAAGACCAAATTGCGTTTAGCTCATGCCAGTATTTTAGAATGGAGTGCTTCAAGGTTGAGGGAATTAGTTTTGCGTGGAGAAGCAGTTCTGGCAAATACTACTTCGACTGGAGCATCTATGGGAATTTCTATAATTGGTGGAGGGATTACTGTAGGTGGTTCTTGTACAGGCGGAGGATCTGTACAAGGTGTTAGGGATAAGGAGCAGGCTAATCATGTCACTCATGCTTTGTTAAAGGTAAAGGAGAAATTATTTTATTTAGCATATTTATGTTGATTAATATAAATTTTGAATAAGGAAAGGGGAAATGTTATTATCTCCCCGAAGGAGAAGTTTATGTTTTCATAAAAAAATCCGATTCTCTAATTTTATGTTTTCTCGACGTTTCAAGCCATTCTGAATCGAATGAGACCAAATTTGGAAAAAGTATGTGTGTGTGTGTGTGTGTATGTGAACAGATTTTTTTGCCGTAAATCGACGTTTTCTCGAAAACGGCTGGGCCGATTTCAAAAATTTAAAAGCCATTCGATGTATCTCGACGAGAACTATTGTTTGTCAGTTTTGTGCGACGATCGGCCAAGCCGTTTCTTTATAAATCGCAGAAAAGTGAAAAAAAATTGTCTACGTTTTAGCCCGCAATTCTGAATCGATTTTGAAAATTCAAAAACCGTTCGAAAGATATTGGTTGGGAATCGTGCTGATTAGTTTTTGGTAAAGATCGGCCGGGCCGTTTTCTTGTAATAAAGTTTTTAAAAAAAAATTTCGACGATTTTTATGATTATTTTTTTGATGGTAGATACCATAGTCTTCTAGATCATACTAAAATATTACGGCCCTACGACAACTGGTTCAGCTTTAAAAATTCGTCAAAGTTTGCAAAAATTGGTATCGTTTTTTTCGCATTTGCCAAAATTAGACTTTTGATCGACGTTTTCTCAAAAACGCATGAACCGATTTTAGAAATTTAAAAGCCATTTGATGTATTTTGGTGAGGACTATCGTTTGCCAGTTTTGTGCGACGATCTGCCAAGCCGTTTCTTTGCAATTTGAAAAAAAGTGTTAAACTTTTCGTCCACATTTAAGCTCATCCTACCGAACCGATTTTAAAAAATCAAAAACTGTTCGAAAGATATTAGTTGGGAATGGTACTGATTAATTTTAGGTGAAAATCTACCGAGCCGTTTTCTTGTAATTAACTGTTAAAAAAAATTTAAGTCGATTTTCATGTAACTTTTTTTGGCGATATACATCATGGTCTTATTGAACTTACTGTAATATTACTGTAATATTATATTATTTACACATTATTTTTTTGATTAAGTCGATTATTTACACATATCGGGAAGTTCATATAACTTGCCTCAAGGCTAAATACCAAACCAACTAGTTTATAAATGTATTTTAACTTATTATCTTCTCTAGGATTTGCCAAGAGCTCGTATGCTTCTAAGTGTCTTGGCCCTGCTGAGTGCTGAATATGCTGCTAACGAATTGGGACTGTTGGCAAGTTGTGGCACTTTAGCATCTTTACATGCACTTTTGAGGCAGATCACAGGAAACCAATTGCATGTTAGTAAATTACTGAAAATTTATTTACAATAATATTCCATATAAAACAGATAGAGATACCAGCTTATATATGTATTCTATTTTATTTCTACAGGATACTCAACAACAAGGCAACAGCTCGAGCAAAGGTAGCAGAGTGATTATTTATGAAGACACATTATTAAATTGTAAGTACTTTTTTCATACATCTTCAAACATTTTTTTAATTGACATTATAACGATTTTTCTTCACATTAGGTAGCGCTTCTGGTTCTAAAGGCAACGCCCTCACCGGCCAGAATTGGCTGCTATGATGAAATTAGGCACCAGAATTGTCAGGGCGCTGATTGGAAATGGGGAGACCAGGTCAGTAAATAGAAATGAATTAGATAATTAAACCAGTTCAATTTTTGATCATTATCCTTTCCTTTTTCAGGATGGTCCTCCACCAGGAGAAGGTCGTGTGATCGGTGAGTTGGGTGATGATGGTTGGGTTCGAGTACAATGGGATACTGGAAGTACAAATAGTTACAGGATGGGACGAGAAGATAAATATGATTTAAAACTTGCAGATAATAATGCTAATTTAGGAAATGGTGCTGGTTTTAATAACGATATGTTGTCACCTGAGGAAGAGGATGATGTAATGCTTAAAGGTAAATAGTATATCAATAAAAATTATAACTGCTCTATTAATTTTATTACACTTTTCCTAGATTCCCAATTTCAACTGCAGCAGCCTGGTGTCCTTCTTCGAGCTTGTTGCAGCAACTTACTGCGTCTATTCACAGTCTGCTGTGGTCTGCGTTCTGCTGGTGCAACTAGCGAAGGAGTTGTGCAGGCTGCAAGAAGTGTCACTTCTATGCATCGACAAGCCTTAAAAGTTTCCAATTGTCTTACGAGTTCCAACACAATAGGAAGTAATGGTAATAATAAATTCATAATTCATATTTCATATTTTTAACTTCCCGTAGGGTAGTTATAGTAATGGGCCGAAAATCGAAAATGAAAGTTGACAAAACAATTACTTTTGAGGATAAAAAATTCTAAAATCTTTTTTTATTTTCCATAAAAAATTTTTGTAATTTTCAATTGAAAATTCAAAAAATTACCCAGTCTAAGCACAGTCTGAGCGCCACTCTGGTACAAATGTTCACCGAAGTGCGTTTAGACTGTTTATGTACTTTTTCAATTTGGTGAAAATGAAATGAAGTGAATGAAATGAACGAATGAATGAAAAATGTGAAAATGCCGCCAAGCTAAGCACAGTATAAGTGAAATAGTCGCACAGAATTATTTGCAAATGCAGATTAGACTGTGACTATACGGGGGCACTTTTTCAATTTTGTGTAAATTAGGCAACTATTTTTTTTGAAGTAAAACTTCTTTAGGCGCGACACGGGTTAGCAGTATAATTCGTGAGTTAATAAAAATGTCAGGATCGGAAGAATATTTTATCCCGTCCCCCATAAATAATTGTAGTGCAAATGATCGCAAATAAATAATGAAACTAAGGAAACATCTGCGCTGCGTAAGAAATGATAAAAGCTATCATGTATGTTTTGTAGGCAGTGGCGGCGCTAGACCATTCGTGGGCGTCGGCGAAATTCGTTTGCGAGGCCCCCCTTTTTTGCTAGTTGCAAGTTGCTAGTGGTACATGGCATCGTGCCTAATGGCAAATTGCTGAAACTTTTCGTGCTGTAATTTAAATTTTTGAAAAGCTTTGAAAAAATTTGAAAAGTGAAAGAAATTGATTTTTTTTAATTTGAAATATTTTGTTGAAAATTTCGAACTTTTTTTCAAAGCAATCACGTTGCGTTAGCTGCTTAGAGACGAAATATCGAAGCGCGTAAACGCCGCGTTGCAGTCTAACTTAACTCACGATTAATTAAAATCTTTATAAAATATCTGATAATTTGATGTGCATATGCCAAATGGCTTTTGTTGTGCTTTTCTACTAGATTTCCAAAACCGCTAGACCTGCCTTCCTAAAAATGTAATCAGTTTGGCACTTTTTGTCCCGTATCTTCAAAACGGCTTATCCTGCCTTTGTTAAAACCTAATCAGCATGTCTTCTTACCTTCAATACGTGTCAAATGTTTTCTGAATTTTTCAAATTGGTTGATCCATGTTCGCAAAATCGTCGACGAAAATTTGCCAAAATGTTCAGAAATCTTTGAAGATATATAAAAATTTTTGTTTTAGATTTTTTTGCAATTACTATAACTGTATATGAGATTTATTTTTAATCAGATAAATACACCAATTGAAATAGACAAAAATTACACAAGTTAAAATAAACAAACTCTTCGGCAAAAATGGTTTGTTCTCCAGCTATTAGAAAAGCACTAAAATTAAATAATTATCGCGAAAAAGTTTCCTTTTGCCCAACCATTTGATTAGCAAATTTTATGTTTTTTCGATCATTATGAATAAAAAATGGTTGGAAATCACCGACTTAATAACTAATTAGATACAATTTTGCAATCTGCAAGTGATTAATTAGATTTAAAAAATCTATGTTCATACTAATTTGAGTGCACAAATCCGAACATCACATAGTAGGTACACATGGTCTAAAAGCTCGTCATTAATCATTTATCGTAGTTCCATAAAATTTATGTTAGATGATACTAACAAGTTTTTTTTGAAAAAATATTTTTACAATAAATTACGAAGAAACTGTGCGGTCGATCTTGACGAAAAACAATTCAGCACGATCGCCAACTGAAAACTTTCGATCAGTTTTTGAATTTTTAAAATTTGTTCAAAAATGTCAAAATGTCGTTTTTTAAGACGCTTTAATTTTTTGTCGACGACATCAGAGCGGATCAACCGATTTAAAGGATTTAAAAAAACATTCGATTCGTGTTGATAAATTGTCAAAGGCAGATTTAGCGGTTTCGGAGATACAAAAAAAGTTTAAAAGGTTATCAATTTTATTTGAAAGAACTGATCATCCCGATAGAATGTTTAAAAAAATATATTGCTTGTGTTGACGGTGTGAAACAATGATTAGTTTCAAATTAACAGTTTTTGTTATTATCTCATTGTTATTTCTCATTGATCAATTTTTATTGATCATTGATTACTTTTATTCTTCGAATATTTAATTACTGTTTCGATACGTTAAGATTCCCACTCGTATGTATTTCCAAAAAGAACGATGATTTACATAGTGCTCACATAAGAAATACACAAATATAAACAACCAGAGAATTAGCTTGCGCGAAGTTATTTAGATTTAATAATCTATAGTGTTGACAGACGATGTTAGATAATGTCCATAAAAGATAAAAGAGTAAAATGATAGTGCCTGTAAACCACTAATCACCTTCTTTACTCGCACATCCGTATGAAAATTAACTAAATTTTAAATAATTAAAATTTTTCCGGGGCCTCTTGCGAGGCCTTTCCAGGCGCGAGGCCGTCGGCGGCCGCCGACACCGCCGACGCCTAGCGCCGCTACTGTTTGTAGGTGATCGACTTTGGCTTCAAAGTGACTTAGAAATATCAAATGATGCTCAAAAACAAATTCTTAATAATGTTGTTTGAATATTGATTTAAATAATCAGGTTGGATGTCAAACTTGTCGAAAGATATTACATTCGGGTAAATTCGGGTAAAATTCCCACTTTGTGTAAATTGAACGAGTTTGTATTTCCACCTATACCAAATTATCTACCTAAACTAGATACTGTATCTGAAAGGTTAATTTCACCTAGGTTGTGTTTCATGCAAATTAGACGATTGCGACATGCAAATGGACAATTTGGAATGTTTGGCCAAATTATAAATGTGCCTGTTGACATTAATAATATGATTAATTTATTACCTCATAATATTGATGATGATCATTGCATTAATGTTCACATAAAAAAGCAAATGATTCATAGATCAAGCTGTGTGCAGGGCTTGATAAATAAGACAAATATAAAAGTATGGTTTCAATTTGTTAGGCAAGACGGATATTACAGCTGTTCAAGGAATGAGATTATATCGTCAGCAAAAAAGTAAAAAAATACAAACAGTAAATGAATGTATGTTAATTTTAATTATATGAAGTTCTTCAAACACAATTGTTATAGGATGAGTTAATTTGCAAAAACAATATTTGTTTAGGCGTTGTTTAACATAATCCACTGTGTGAATGAATATTATAGAATTTATTAATCAGCAATTACTTTAAAACGATCATGTCATATTTCAAGTACGACTTTGATTACATTATTGTTTGTAAATATTATACATATTTTTAATGTAATCATAAATATATAATTTATAATTTATCATTATATAAATGTGTATAATGATTGACGGCACTAATAAATGTGTGCATCATGAGTGTTACCATATTACTAATAAACATTATTCAAAATTTTTATATAATGTATTTATTTTTACTCAACTTAAATTTGCTACTTTATACAGTAGCAAATAAGTTTTACTTCAATGGCGTGTGATCCTTACGCGCACTCTTTTTTTTTTGAAATTGAATTCGAAATGAAATGACGTTTGTTAATGTTCTGGAGATAAATTGATTTATGATTTACATTTGATTTGCTCAGATATAACAAGATAGCAAAAATAATGAAAGTTACAGTATTTGTAATAATATATTTGAGAACGTTTAAAATTTCTCGAACATTTCGTTACGGTACAGGAAGTTTCAGAAATTTGCCTTAAGGCACGATGCCATACACCACTAGTTTTTTATCATAGTTTGCATATTTTTAATTCTTTTAGCTTTGACAACGTCTGTTGCCAACAACTGCATCACCTCGATCTTCTGCTGCAGCGATATGTGGAACCAAAATCAGCAAAAGCATCGAAACAATAGTGCAAATGCAGTTTTGCTTTATTCTGGTTCTTTGCGGGCAATGTGCAGTGATGATGAGTTGTGCAGATTGATGACACACGATTCATGGTTGAATATTTGTGAGAGGGTTTTATCGGCTGATGATGATGGTATTGTTACCACAGAAGCACTTTTGATTAAAAAGGTTAATATGAATAAATAATAAGGTAATTTCAGTTTGTTTCAATGGTTGTTCAATTATTGTAGATTCAGTGTCTGCGTTTGTGGAGGGACTGTCTTGGCAGCTGGTCACCGGCCCACGATTTGTCAAGGATGTCGAAGTTTCTTTTAAGGCTGTTTGAAATATTAGGAAGCTGCTTCTTGCTATGCAAAGGAGATTCCACGCTTCGAGCTTTGGTTTCAACAGGTATAACAGAGATAATTGTTTTCAACTAAATTTCTCGTAAGCATACATTTAAATAAAAACGTTTTGTTCACAAATGCGAATCAAGTTCGAATTTCAAAAAAAATTCTATATTTTTATGAAATTTCAAAATTATCAAAAAAATCAATTAAAAAAAAAAATGAACAAATTTCTTGTAAACATACATTTAAAAAAAATAGATTTTTTCACGAATTCCAAACAAAATCGAAATTAAAAAAAAAAACTAAATTTTGAACAAATTTCAATATTATCAAAAAATGAACAAATTTTTTGTAAACATACATTTAAAAAAAAACGATTTTTTCCACAAATTCGAAAGCAATTTCAAATTTAAAAAAAAATCGAAATCTATCAAAATAATCAAATTAAAAAAAAAAGAACAATCTTTTTGCAAATATACTAACATACGTTTAAAAAATAATCGAGTTTTTTCACAAATTCCAAACAAATTCGAAATTGGAAAAAGAATTCTAAATTTTGAAAAAAAATTCAAAATTATGAAAAACATCAAATTTTGATGCAATATATTCGATTCAAGGTGTAAAAATTATTTAACTCAATTTCTGAGTGATAACAATCAGCTTTATAACAGTTTTGAAGTTTTTAATGTTCAAGTTTTTGAACATTTTTTATTATTTCATTTTACAAGTTTTATTAAATTTCTTTTCTGGCTTTTTCCAATAATTTGTATATTATTCAAGTCAGCTATATTTGTTTTTTTGTCTCAATTAATTGTAAAGGTTTCACATGTTTTACAAAGTCGTATAAACAATTTTGATTCGATTAATATCATTTCATTTCATCGATTAATTAAAGAATTCCTTCGAATATTTTTTTTTTCAAAGTCCAAATTTTCTGAAACCTTTTCGATTAATACAGACGAGTTATTTATGCATGCTATATTATCCCAAAGCCAACATTCGAATGAATGAGACTCATATTGAAAATTTCATAACGAGAATAATATCGTATTTCGTTATTCATAATTTTTCTAACCGTGTAAATAAATAAGATATATAGATAAATAATTAAATTTATTGAGTGTCAGTATTACAAAAATCGACATAATATATATGCATATATGCAACGATTTTTTTTTACAAACTCAGAATTTAAAAAAATTAAAAAAAATCAAATTAAAAAGAAATGTACAAATTTCTTTTAAACATTACTCTTAAAAAAATCAATTTTTCTCACAAATTCGAAATTTGAAGAAAATTTAAAAAGTTTGAAAAAATCTCAAAAAAGAAACAATTTTTTAAAAAAAAATTGAAGAATGTTCTTATAAACATACATACGCTCGTCGCCTAATTAAATAAGCACTATAATAAATAATCTATTTGAAATTATTCGAAACAATTATTGATTATTTTTATTCCTCGAACATTTAATTACAGTACTGGAAGTTCCAGCAATTTGCCTTAAGCATAGTATTATTTTATTATTCAGAAATTTTATTTACATTATTTATTAATTTTATTTTTATTTTAAGCAAATAATGCTTCTATTTTTTATATTAAATTATCATATTACGGATATTATTTTCATGTAAATGCTATCCTTTGCACTTTTATTTATTTAAAATTAATACAACATTAATATGTAATACAAAATATTAACATTAATATATAATACAAAAATAGAAAATGAATTAGCTTCTAAGATTGATATCTTTGGTCTGTCGGTGACAAATATAAAAAATCAAGCCAGATAAATCATCCTTAAAAGATTGTCTTAAGTTATGATTTATAGTTTATTAAATGTTTAATATTATTATTAGTTTTTATTTAATCTTCTATATATATAAAAATAAGTCATGTTTTCCTTCCTGACGAAATAACTCCAGAACGCATGAACCGATTTCGACAATTTTGCATTAGTTGGAAAGGTCTCGGGCTCCGCAAGGTTTATAGCTAAAAAAATTAGTTGTGCATGGCATCGTGCTCTAATGCAAATTGCTGGAACTTCACGCACCGTAATTAAAAATTCGAGTAATGACATTAGTGAGAATTATCAGAATTATGCTTGAATAAGTCAACGAGCAATTCTTGCCGCAAAGAATAATGATGTACACGCACTGAATTTCACCATTCAATCAAAAATTGCTGGCGGTTTGGTGACATACCAATGTTTCCGACTGGTTTTCCGTTTGACTTCAAACGATTGCAATTTCCAGTTCGCCTTGCGTTCGCAATGACAATTGACAAGTCGCAATGACAATAGCTTAGTGTTTGCGGGATAAATTTTAAATAGATTATTTCGAAAATCATTGTTTTTCACATGGGCAGTTATACGTTGCCTGTTCACGAGTTGGAAAACCATCCGCTTTGTTTGTGTTAACGTCAGACCAAAAAACAAAAAATGTGGTTTACCAAAGAGCACTTCAATGAAACGGATAATTTGCTGATTCACTTTCATTTACTTAGAGAAGTTCAACGAAAACACACTTACAACATTTTTGCAATCGAAATAAATTCGTTACTGTTGTATAATAAAATCACATTTTTTCTTTTCAAATATAAAACAAACAAAAAATTTCTTCATCTTTCTCACGAAACCATCTGGTGGCGAAACGGAGTTCGTCGGGTTTGCTAGTGTTATATATTTGTAGTTTATATTAAGTGTTATGTATATATACAATACTCTAATTTTCTCACTTATTATCTCTTTAGTTTATAATTTGTACACTTCAAAATGTAACTATATTGTAATATTGCCTTGGGCGTTGAATAAATAAATAAATAAATAAACAAATAGATGAATAAATAAATAAATAAATAAATTGTAACTCTTGGTTCAAATAACATCAAACCACTTACCCAACTCCATTCCCCCCAGGTGCCAGAAATTTACCAACGCCACCAGAAACCAAACCTGCACCAACATCCACAACGTCTGCTCCGTCTGCTGCAGCAGCATCTGCCTCTGGTCCGCAGCCAAGTTGTTCGAGTGCACAGCAGTCTGCAGGTTCAATTGGAGGCGGAAAAGCTCGTGTTCCTGTGACTCCGAGTGCTACAAGTAGCGCCTGCGCCGAAGCAGTATCCTTATTGAGGGCTCTTCATTCTCTTAGAGGTTGGAGGACGACTATGGACGCTCTGCTGCTGCAGGGACTTGTTAGTGCGGCGCAAACTATAAAGGAGTCATTTAGATATGAGAGAGGTAATAGAAAATAAGAGATTTGAAGTTTATGTGAAGTTGATTGATGATAATTTTGTAGATAAGAATATCCACTGATATAAGGTTGTCAAATATCTCCCTTCCGCCTTTTTGTATTATAAACCAAGAGCAAAAAAGCGGAAGGGAGATATTTGACAACCTAATATATTAATTGGTACATGTAAAAGTTGTGAATTTTGTCAATTTCTTCTGTCAATGAGAAGTTAATTAACTTCCCGAAGGAGAAGTTTATGTTTTCATCAAAAAATCCGACTAGCTAATTTTATGCTTTCTCGACGTTTCAAGCCATTCTGAATCAAATGAGACCAAATTTGGAATAAGTATGTGTGTGTGTATGTGTGTGTGTGAACAGATTTTTTGCCGTAAATCGACGTTTTCTCCAAAACGGCTGGACCGATTTCAAAAAATTAAAAGCCATTTGATGTATTTCGATGAGGACTAGCGTTTCTGAGTTTTGTGCGACGATCGGCCAGGCCGTTTCTTTGTAAATAGCAAAAAAGTGAAAAACTTTTCGTCCACGTTTTAGCCCACAATTCTGAATCGATTTTGAAAATTCAAAAACTGTTCGATAGATATTGGTTGGGAATCGTGCTGATTAGTTTTTCGTAAAGATCGGCCGGGCTGTTTTCTTGTAATAAAGTTAAAAAAAAAAATCGGCGATTTTTATGATTTTTTTTCTTGGTGGTAGATACCATAGTCTTGTAGATCATACTAAAATATTACGGCCCTACGACAAGTCGTTTAATTTTAAAAATTCATCAAAGTTTGAGAAAATGAGTAGTTTAGCCTAGCTAAGCACAGTATAAGTGAAAATGTCCCACAGAATTATTTGCAAATGCGTTTAGACTGTGACTATTAGACTGGGAGCACTTTTTAACTTCCCGTAGGGCAAGTTATAGTAATCGCAAAAAAATCGAAAATGAAAATTTTTATATATCTTTACGTTTCAGAGGTTTCTGAACATTTTGGCATACCTTAGAAAAAATGGATGTATGTGTGTGTGTGTGTGTATGTATATATGTACGTGTGTGTATGTATGTGCGGATACAAATTTTCGTCGACGATTTCAACAACACGGATCAACCGATTTGAATAATTCAAAGAACATTCGATTCGTATTAATAAGGAGACGTGCTGATTAGTTTTTGGCGAAGGCAGGTCTAGCCGTTCCGAAGATACGGGGCAAAAAGTGCCAAAAACGGTACCTTTGTTTTTAAGAGAACGGAGCGTCCGATTTGAATAATTCAAAAAACATTTTACTTGTATTGACAAGATGTAGAATTGATCAAATTTTCATGGAGCCAGGTCTAGCGGTTCCGGAGATCTAATGAAAAAAGTAAAAAAAAAGCCATTGGGCAGTTAAAAATAATTATTAGACATATGCACATCAAATTATCAGATATTTTATAGAGATTTTAACAATAAGTATAATTTTTTTTTACATTTTCATGGGTTCCGTACCAATGCTTATGCGTTAGACGGCGGCGGGCCACTTGCGAGCTTTGACATTTTGTCTCTATGCAGTTCAAGCAGTGCGATGCTTTGAAAAAAAGTTCAAAATTTCCAAAATATGTTTTAAATTTTTTTTTTTTCAAATAATTTTTTTTTTCACAAAAAAGTAATTTTTTGTCAATTTTATAGTTTGTTAAAAATCTATTTTTTTTCGAAGTAAAATTTTTTCAAAAATGTTAATTGTTTTTAAAAAAATAATAATTTTTGGTACGGGAAGTTCCAGCAATTTGCCTTACGGCACGATGCCCTAATTGCCTTAAGACAGAATTCCACTTACAGCTAGTTCAATTTTGTGTTCAATCGGCAAATTAGGCAACTATTTTTTTGAAATTGAATTCGAAATGAAATGATGATTGTTAATGTTCTGGAGATAAATTGATTTATTTATTATTTACATTTGATTTGCTCAGATATAACGAGATAGCAAAAATAATGAAAGTGTTACAGTATTTGTAATAATATATTTGAAAACGTTTAAAATTTCTCGAATATTTCATTACGGTACGGAAAGTACCAGCAATTTGCCTTAAGGCACGATGCTATCCACCACCAGTTTTAATTTAATATTATCGTCTATTGCAATTATGTCTAGGTTACCTTGAAGATGGTTGCTCAAATTATTACCTTGAAGACAGAGAAGAACCTGCTGCAACACAAGAAAGAGAAGTGAGTCCTGCATTTATAGCAGCAACTTTGTGTATTATCGGTGGTGTTGATAATAGGTTTGTATAAATCATTTACTATTTTAGACAAAGGATTAAATTTTGAGAAATTTAATTTTATCTATTATAATTTTGCAGAGTACGAGTGGGTATGCAAGTATCATCTGATGGAATTTTTGGAACAGTGAGAAGAATGACTGAACGGTCAGGAAGTCTAGTCGTACAGTGTCATGCCACTGGTGAACTTAAGAAGGTACTATAGAAAAATATGTATACTTAAGGGGGTACTCTAGTGTAGAGCGATGAATTTTAGGTAATTTTTAAAGTGTCGTAAAAGAAAGCAATGAGTGTTTTTACTATCCATTTTTTACCACTTGTTTATTAATATTATTAAAATACAATACAAAAATTAAAAAAAAAGTTGAAAATTGAAGAAACTGGCAGCTGATGAAGTGGGGGGTCTCAAAAAATTGGCACCTCAGTCTTGACATGATTTCAGCCCCCCTAGCCCTCGAAATAAAAGAAATAAAAAGATTATTAATCTACAATGATGCCGCAATCGCGCGAACTAGCGATGAGTAAAAAAAATATTTTTTTTACAAATTGGCGACTGTTTGAATAAAAAAGTGTCTTTTTTCACTGTTTTTTGAATTTCTCGATTGTTTTAAAAACAGTAAAAATTGGAATTTGGGGATGATGCTAGTTCGGGCTACAGATAAGTCTATATGCAAGACTCTCTCGACATTTCAAGTGAATCGGTCGAGTAGAACTCGAAAAATCGTGTCAACAGTACTGAAAAAGTTTGTTCTGAGATAAACGCATTTAAAGTTTTGCGTGAAGTTTTTTGCTGTCAAAGTCATAAAATGATATGTTTAATCTGCCATTATTGCTTCATGCATCGGACTAGGGTTTATACAAAAACCGACATTTCAGAAAACAGGTTTTCGAATTGTAAATTTTCCAGAAAACCGATTTTAACCGGTTTTCAAATATTATATAAAAAATCAATTTTTGCTCGAATATTCTGTAATAACAAAAAAAAATATCGGCGAATTTAGTGTGATTTAAAGCAGTATTTGACAGAATTTATTTAATGTTCAATTTTATGAATAGTGAACAAAATTATTTTAATTTTAATTAGTAGAACAAAGAAATAATAGTTGATGTGGATTAAATGACTTTGAAAATGATTATTCGTTATTCATGCATCATTTTCACTATAGATTATAAATATTGTTATGATAGTGAAAGAAAAGAGTTCAAATAAATGAAAATAATTCATTTTTAAATAAAAAATCTTTTAACTTTTAATTAAATAAAAAAAATTAAATACATATTGATACATAATTGTTAATGTCAATTTCAGTTCTAAAAACAATTAAACAAAACCCCGATTTTATTCTATTCCAAACAATTTCAATTAATTAATTTCAAATATTTAATAAATTTTTAGTTTAATGAAATATGATTGCTAAAAGCAGAGCACACCTATAGATTTGTTATTTAGAAGTGTCCTTTGTTTAGTCACAAAATTTTCCGAAATAGAAAATACTCTCTCACTTGCAACCGAACTAAAGTGTGATATAATAATTCTGGAAATTTTGTATTTTTATTTGTGGCTTCTAGAGGTAAAAACTCTTTTTTTTAATTTGAGTAGAGCAATTCACTACTTCAACAAGATATATATACATTGATAAAATAATCTAAATTAATATATACATTAGACAGATATTAACACGGAATCTTTCTTGGAACTATAACAGACTGATATGAGTCCAAATTTTATCGAACCGATATGATTCCAAGTGTCAAAACCTGCGTTTCTCTTTTCCAATCAAGCAGTTCTAGCCTTTTTTGAAGCGTTGGATGTACGTATTTCAAATCGTTCAATCCGGGCTTCGTCTCGTCTTACAGCAAATGAATGAGTTTCTGACCCAATTCGCATTACCATAAGGGTCATCATATTTAAAATCGGAAAGAAACCTTCATTGAACGTGCAAACAGCAATAAATGTTGCTATTTCAATTACCTACCCGAGAACGGGAATGAATATGCTTCGGCGCAAAAATCCAAATCAATGAGTTTAGAGATTTATTATTGTTCTGAGTTTCTGAACCTATACATCGAATTAATAATTCATTTGACAATAAACTGTCATAAATTGGTCTAATGACTTTCTAATGCCTTTTGTCCGATTAGAACCTTGGAGACCGAGTCAGTAAAATGCCTATATCTCCGAAAATAATTCAAATTTTTAAAAACCCTCTTGTACTCATATTCTTAGATAGTTAAACTTTGAAAATATGAAATAAAAAAATCGATCTAGAATACCCCCTTAAACAAATATTTATCTGATGTATTATATATTTTATATTATCTCAGGTACCACTGCAATCAGCAAGACCTGCCCTGGAGCAAATATTTCTTCATCGTTTACCTGCTGACGAAATAGCATTATCGGCTTGGACAAAATTGCTGTTGCAACAACAAAAGTCTAATTGGAGCAGACATGGACAAGCTTACACACCAAGAGGTAAATAATAATTTTCTAAACAAAATTTACTAAAAATGGTTGAAACTAGAGATGGGCTTATCATATACGAAGCCGGATCGGTTAGGATTTGACTCCGCTTCAGAGAGGAGTTATATCCACTTAACAACTCCACAACTCCGACAATTTTGAAACATAATACTTGACACAAATGTGTTCCCTAGTGTTAGTTAGTTAACATATCATAGGATTTATTGAGACTTTGGAAATAGTTTACAAATAGTTCAAACATTTTTGTTCATTTTATTCTAATAATTACTATTTTATGCATTTCAATATGCATACAAATCTCAAATTGACACAAAACTTGGGAATCAAAATAAATTTTGTTATTATTTTTGAAGAGAAAATATAGAATTCTTTGCATATGTTTATTTTTATATGAAAATAATGCAGTGAACCTTATATATGAAACTAGCAAACCCGACGAACTCCGTTTCGCCACCAGATGGTTTCGTGAGAAAGATGAAGAAATTTTTTGTTTGTTTTATATCTGAAAAGGAAAAATTTGATTTTATTATACAACAGTAATGAATTCATTTCGATTACAAAAATGAAGTGTTTTATAGTTGAACTTCTCTAAGTAAATGAAAGTGAATCCGCAAATTATCCATTTCATTGAAGTGCTCTTTGGTAAACCGCATTTTTTGTTTTTTGGTCTGACGTTAACACAAACACTGCCGATGGTTTTCCAACTCGTGAACAGGCAACGTATAACTGCCCATGTGAAAAACAATGATTTTCTAAATAATCTATTTGAAATTTATCCCGCAAACACTAAGCGATTGGCCTTGCGACTTGCTATTGCAAACGCAAGGCGAACTGGAAATTGCAATGGTTTGAAGTCAAACGGAAGACCAGTCGGAATCATTGGTATGTCACCAAATCGCCAGCAATTTTTGATTGAATGGTGAAATTCAGTGCGTGTACATCATTATTCTTTGCGGCAAGAATTGCTTGTTGACTTAACCAAGCATAATTCTGATAATTCTCACTAATGCCATTACTCGAATTTTCAATTACGGTGCGTGAAGTTCCAGCAATTTGCATTAGAGCACGATGTCATGCACCACTTAAATGTTCTTAGCTATAAACCTTGCGGAGCCCGAGACCTTTCCAACGAATGCAAAATTGTCGAAATCGGTTTGTGCGTTCTGGAGTTATTTCGTCAGGAAGGAAAACTCGACTTATTTTTATATATATAGAAGATAAGAACAAATCTTTGTGTATAATATTTTTCGCAAAATAATAATACCTCACATTCTTTTATTATTTCCTTTTCGAGAATTAATTATACATCAGATAGTTTGATTAGCATGATATTACTTTTACACAATTATAAAATCATAATTGTGTAAAAGTTATAATATAATACTAAATGTTTTTTAGCTGATTGTATACCATTGAAAGAGCTCATTTACGGACAAACATTATCGTATACATAATATAGAATACAAAATAGTATTATTTTGAGACATTATATACCCGGAAAGTCCTAAAACTGGCTGTGAGACGAGAAAAAAAAAAACACTTTGTTCGACCCAAATCTTTGTATTAGTAAACAATCTCAAGCAAATATCTGCACATGTTAACAGATTTAGTATCAGTTTAGGGAAGTCGGATATGACAAATCCTGTGAGACAAATCCACTCGGATTCACTCCGAGGGAGGAGTTGATAACTCCGGAGTGAGTTATCCATCTCTAGTTGAAACAATGTTTTTTTAATTCTTTGTTTATTTCTTCATCTAGTCGGTACAATAGATGCCCACAAACTCCGTTCCCAGCAGCTACGTCTCTGTTCAATAAACGCCTGCTGCTCCCTGCTGCAGCATCAGCAGCTACTGCGAAGAGTTCTTCTACGTCATGCATCTGCTTCAGTTCAAGACACAGCTGCTGCTCCGAATGATACCGAAGACATATTTATTGCCGAAGCAGGAGAGGATAGAGTGAGTACAGCAGGTTTCGATATGGAATTTAGTGCAGAACGAGAGGAGAGGTGCGACAGGTGTGAGTCTGCTGCTGCGGAGGCGGAACTGGACGATGGGAGTGTGTCGGGTAGCGGAAGTGAAGACGGGTGAGATTAATTAAATTTATATATTTATACTAGCTGACCCGGCAAATGTTGTTTTGTTAAGTAAGGTATTGAAATGTTATGGGGGTGTTTGTTGAGATGATATAAGTTGTTGGTTTGGAGTTGCTCGGTTGTTCCACACAGTCTCCAGGATACCGATTGGTAGTAATCTCCTCGGAACCGTGAGAACTTTATTATGGTATAGGCTGAAAGAGTTCTCTACGCAAAGTCTAATTGAAACACTGGATTTAATTGACTGTCACTTTATTTAAATCTTTAATTACACTTTCAAATCACAAACTGACATAAATTCGTGTTAAGACATACTCTCGACTCTCTTAAGAAATCACTAAATTCGATGGACGATCACTACTCTATTTATTAAGTATAGGGCGTGACATATGTGCACTTCTGCATTTGCGCTCTGGCCATGTACTTTGATTATTTATCAAAACCGAACGAATTGCATTATTTCACAACAGTATATTCAAAACAATTTCTAGAGAATCAAACTAATACTTAAAGTGTACAAGGATGTATTGTTTGAATGCTATATACAATGAGGTATTATAAAAACAATAAACCTCATTAGTTTGTCAATATTTTGCCAATCCAATTAAACTGAAAGTTTTATACACTTTCTATAGAAAACTGGTATAATCCAATCCAAGTCTTTTTTGGTCTTTCGACCTATTGATTACGTTTCAAGTTTTTCAGATTCTTTTTTGATTCAGGATTTTGTGTATAATTGTTAATAATACTACTGAGCTTATACAAAATTTTCAGATTTAAGTATTTCTTTTTTGACCTGCTTTTTGAAAAGTTTCAAGTAACATTCGATGAATTAAAGTAAATTCAATAAAAAGTATATGTGTAGAGCAGGGCGAGGCACAAAGGTCCAGTTTGACTTTGAGAAAATATAAACTATATTGTGAAAACCAAAACAATTATATCACAACAAATAACACATTTCAAACGAACAATTATCTGACTACGTTCAGTAAAACTGCCAGCTACCTCATCATTGTAGAAATGTGCTTTTTTGAGGTCTTTCAAAAATTTGTTGGCAAATAGGTTTAATGTCTTATTTTAATTTTAAAGGTATTTTACAAAACAATTACATTTTTAACTAATGCTAAAAAACTACCAACGGAAAAAAAGCAAACGATAGCAAAGTCATGAGAATCAAGGTTATAGCTTGTTATACATCTTTTTCCCTCTACTTTCAAATATTGTTATTAAACAATGCTTAACTTTACTGGTGTTTGACACATTGGTGCTAGACCTTTTTAACCCCGGACCTTCATATATTACCATCTATTTACTAAAATTTTAACTGAGAAAATATTATTTGACAAAATGTCCATTTGATCGATACCAAATTTATGTTCTGAATTTAAATAATATAAATAAAAAATAATATAACCTAGAAAATGTTTTATAAATACCAATGAGTATATAATTATATAAATAAGATCTTTCTGAGCACCGTGTTTGAGGAAAATATGATTTGCAAAAAAGAGTGCTACAACGTCAAAAAGTGCATTTTCATATTAACATTTCAAAAAAGTTGATATTGTTGAGTTTGTAGTAACACTTGCAGCCCTATTACATGATTTTACTGAATTGCAAATTTATAGCTGTTGTTGTACGAAACATGTGTGATTTGATATTTTTATAATTTAGTACACATATTAAGAAATAACATATTAAAATTTTGTAACTCTAGTATAACGTTTTATATTTTTAAATATTTTTCAAAATACTCATCAAAGCGTGGACTTGCAACTATTGCAAGAGTGCATTTTTTACAAAATTGCACATTCATAGCTTTTTTTGTTAGAAACATATTTGATTTTATATTTGTATAATTGAGTACATATATTAGGAAATAACATACTAAAATTTCATAGGTCTAGTATATTGTATATTACATTGTTGTATAATATTGTATATTTTTAAAACATTTTTCAAAAGTACTTCTCATATCATATCCAACCGTCGATTCGAAACTAATAAAAATAGAATATGCAAGTGTGCATAGCAATTTTTTAGTTTCTTCTATTAGAAACATATTTGATTTTATATTTTTATAATTCAGTACACATATTAAGAAATAACATACTATAATTTCATAACTGTATTACAACGCTTTATATTTTTAAAATATATTTTAAGCCGTCAATTTGTTTACGTCAAAATGTTTACTAACGTTTTTGTGTATAAATATAACAACAAGCAAAACTACTTACTATAATTTAATCAAAATTAAATAATTTTCACGTAAAACATCCCATTAAACGTAATTGAACATCATCTGTCAAAAACGTTTGAAATTTGACGTATTAGCCACCGTCCATTGTTTTATTCAAATAACGCTTCTACAAAAATGTTCTAATTAAAAATGTAAAGTTTCTACGCGATTTTGAAATAATATCTCACCTTTCTGACAACCTACTGGTTAGCACGAATTTTTCAAGACTAAGACTGGCCAAATCGGTTTAGCCGTTTACGAGTTTTAGCGGATCATTTGATCGAGAGCTCTATTTTTATATATAAGATATCAAGCCAAATGGTACTTACACTTTTTATTTTTCAGTAACAGTGATGATGAATCTCAGCAATCCCGCTCGCAGAACACGGAGCAGGAATCAGTAGGCACACCACGCAGCGGTGGCGGTGGTTACAGTACCAAAAAACGCAGAAAGAAAGAAGAAGGTCGTCAAATTTGCAAACATACTCTGCTGCAAAGAATGCTGGCTACTGCTGTTGCTTCCTCGCCCTTGAAAAACGATTTTTCTTTGGAGCAGATGAAACAGGCCGCTTTGGCAGTCTCGCAAAGACTTGCTTCAGAATTGGCAACTCGGGGAGAGAATATTCCACCTGGACTTGACTGTTCTCAATCTGGTACTGGATCGATGAGTACGAATCAACGATCACCATTTACAGGTCAGTCATAGTAAATATAAGAATTGTTTAATTGAATTGCGGACTATCTAAATGTTAGTATTAAGAGCTAGAAGTTTTAGAGATTTTTTTTTAATAATTGGGAAACATTTGAGCCCTTGGAAGCAATGAAATTCGAAAATGTCCATATTAAGGACCACCCTAATATATATATATATATATATATATACTAGATGACCCGGCAGACGTTGTCCTGTACCCACATCTACGTTTTTTTAATATCCTATACTAATATTTATACCGTTCAGTTAAAAATAATCATTATTGGTTTTCGAATTACTATTTACACCAATATATGAGTGATGTTGAATGTAGAACTGTTTCAAATAAAATGATTATTCTCAAGTCCCACAGTTAACACTTTAATTATCCATTTAACAAATATTAAAAAATGTTCAATAAAATTGTATATTAAAAATTATGCACTGCGATTTATAGAACAAATTTATTTCCAATAGCTCAATTTATTTTATTGCATTTAAGGGTTATTTAGTATTTTTAGTCATACCTGTAGATGTGGATGTATAAATGAATGATTTTTTGTTTATTCACGTCTAAAACATTGATTTTCCAAATTTATCAAACAAAAAATCATCGTTTGCCTTTGTGATTTATGGTCATAGCATAAGATACACGTGTTGAAAATTAGAGTCTTTTAAAAAGTATAACAAATTCAGAAATAATTAATATATAGTATTTGCGGTAAAGGTACAATATCACCTTGGATTTTTCTACCCAAAATAATTGCTTTAATAATGTTGCCTATAATTTTTATGATTTCGTACCATATTTTAACGGGCTTTTAGTAATTTTAATATCAAAATTACATTTTTCTCACTAATAATTCAATATACATTGTTACTTAAGTTCATATTTGAAGTGAATTAATTTGCCAAATTCTGTTCACATGTGTTCTATTCAATCTACGATCAACAAAATTATTGCAGTAAATGGAGAGGAAAAAGCGTGTGCCCTGTGAATTTTTTTTACTGTACTCCAATTTGCATGATATTTTGGAAATAGGCTAATCTTTAACTTAAGTTCAGCAGTGAAAACAATTTGTACTCCTTCACCACCCCTCGCATTAATTGTATTATAACTTTATTAATTCTGATTTTATCAGAACTTGTAATATACTATTTTAAAGATAATTAAATGACCTATAACTTTCTCTATTATAAATTTTACCATAACTTCTCTTATTTTGAAACGGCGAAGGGTTAAAGGGCTCGAAAGACCTCATAACTCTATCACTATTTGTGTTACAAAAAATAATAAAAAGCAATAATTGGTCAGAAAAAGATCTTGAATTTCAGAGATATAATAATGAGAAATTGGTTGTTTTTTTAATGAATTTTTTTTTTCATGAAATCATGAGTTTTTTTTGAAAATCGTTTGTACTAAAGTTGTGGTATTTTCTAGAATCCATCAAGATCTCTTAAACCAAGTCAATTCTAAATGGAATACGATTATTTTTAATTTTGGTGGAAATGGCACTCATAAACTATTTGAATTAAATGAAAAAAAAAACATTGTATGCGTCTTTTTTCTGCATGATAGCTTACACATTTTATACGCAGAACTACTCATTTTAAAGCTTATTTTGAATACTATAAAAACCCATTTTCATGTATAGCCTAATATTGTTTCTAGAACAATTTATAGAACACCGATTTTTTAGGATTTTAATTGATATAATTTTGTTCATTACATGATTTTCGTTTAAATGTATATTTTTAGAAATATTTGCAAAAAAAGATAAAAAACGCAAAAACAACAATTTTTCAGTAGCCAGTAACTTGAAAAGTAATTTCTTTTTTGAAAAACATTATTAAACATTTTTCTCTTCTAATTAGTTCTTTTATCGATAATCCGACGTTAGTTTGAAAGATATACAATTGCACCACTGAAAAGGGATGTCATCCCCCCGGGAAGTGGCAAATGATTCTAAATTATTTTTACTTTTAAACTTGAGAGTAAGATGAACCTTATGACCCAAAATGCTCCATTGTCTTGAGTAAATATTTCGTGTCCAATGCCAAACATATGAATTTTTGACACAATGAAACTTCTAAATAATTGTTTGAATAAGTAAATTATTTTTGTATCGTGATTTGGTAAAGTAAGGCAAAACACGACAGCATTTAGAAGTTAAAAAATAATAATCAGTCAAAGTGAATTATAGGCTAAGTTGAAGTGCGATCACTGACAGACGCATGCGCAGACTGCATCTTATGTCAGACGCATGTTGACTCTATCTTATTATATTATTTTAATTTTTGGAACATCTCAGCTGCTTTTTGGCAATAATAATGTAGACATTACATTTTTCTTATTTATAATCATGAATTTATTATATTTTGTTATTGTCTTAAGTGAATGGAAATGTTTGGTAAATGACAGTCTTCATTTGTTTTTAATGTCAAACTAAGATTCAAATATTTTCAAGGACAAACAATGATAAGCGGCTTTTTGTAATTTTTTCCATTTATTTCTACAATCTAACTATATTTCTATGAATCTAAAAATTCTAGAAAATTTCCCGAACAAACTTCAGGAAGATTCATAAAAATCCGCATTATAGTTTAGGAGGATTAATCATTCAAACCCCATTACAGAAGAATTTTATATATAAGATATATATATATATATATATATATATATAAGATATGCATATATAACCTGTTATCATTATCCTTTACCCAGCTAAGAGAAATCAGCAAGCAGTAAGCGCCGCCTCCGTCGCAGCAGCGTCGCTCAATGGACGGCGCAGAAATTCTCAACAGCAACAACGTAGGAGCAGCAGGGGCAGCAGAACGTCGCAGCAACACCAGGAACCAGCTGCAGCAGCAGCAGCAGCCAGCAAAGAGGAAAAAGATAGGGATGGCACGGAAAGGGAAAGAAACTTTGAATTGGTGCAGAGGCTGATCGAGATGGGATTCGAGAGGGAAAGGATCGATATTGCTATGAGTGCTTTGGGTAAATCATAATAGAAATAGTAAATGAAACATAATATTGTATCTCAACTTTAAAATATGGGCCGGCAGTGGCGATATCAGTAAGAGCGCGGGCTAGCATCAATTAGTTCCGGGTTCGATGGTTCGATTCCTGCTACCGCCGTAGCCCGACATCAGGCAACTTTGATGTCAAATTACTACTTGGGGTTCTAGATCATAATATAACTACAAGTGGAAATCGTCCTTCGTGAACATAGTTGCATCACTCAATCATATGTAAACTATTAGATGTAAGAGCTAATATATAATAAATCCACACATAGGAGAATGGTGAACCGATGGGTTGCCTCTCATAATAATACCTTAGATCATAAGCGTTGAACCAAACAGCTTATAGAACATATAAATAGTAAGAGTTCTGATTGCTGATGTGATAATAATAAAAAAAAGCTTTAAAACATCTTCTTTCAGAGAAAGAATCCAAATTAACAATTGATGACGTGCTGCAGTACATTTTGGATAAAATTCCAGCCAACGAAGATAGGGTTGTAGCTATTGAGGATCGGAGTCTTGCAATCGAAAATAGAGGTCCAGCCGTTCAAGATAATTTATTTCAGTTTCTCGATAGATTTACATCAAATGATAGTCATCAAGGTGCAGGAAAGCCAGCAGAAGACAATGATCACGACGACGGTCATGATGATAGCGATCAGGAAGACACCAGTGTCAGTTCTGTGCAGGTGAATAGATTAAAAAATATATAATTCTGTATGCTATTTATTAATTTTGTTTTCTTGACTTTGTGTAAACCGTTATAGTGTGCCATATTAATTTCATGGTTGACAATAACTTATATATTAGGTTGTCAAATACTCCCTTCCGCCTTTTTGTATGCAATGCAATGCAAAAAAGCGGAAGGGAGATATTTGACAACTAATATAAAATGGAGCTCTTGATAAAAATGATCCGCTAAAACTCAATAACGGCTAAACGATTTGGCCAGTCTTAGTCTTGAACAATTCGGCCAATCAGTAGGTGTCGGAAAGGTGAGGTATTATTTCAAAATCGCGT